AACAGGTTGTCTACTAATCATGACAGTTGGTGGTTTGATGCCTGGACTTTACCAAGTCCACAAAGTATCCTTGAGCAAGATGCTAAACCCCATGGAAGCGTACGCATGAATGGTTAGACTACACTCAAATAAAAATGCTGAATGAATGGGTGAATTAGACTTATTCTAGAAAGCTTTGAGTGCTCAGCTAGAATAGAAAAGTGCTGTTTAAGTACCATACATAAGTACCAGAACTATTTTCCTCAACTTAGAGTAAAGAATGAGTGGGTTAGAAATTAATTGGAACTTTTAGATAGAGGCTTGGAACGCTGGTTTCAGAGAGGACAGACAATGAGCTTGTTGTTATCAACCATTTATTTAATGGAAATGGGTTAAGGCTTTTCTTCCATCTCTAACCCAACTTTAAAAAAAGCACTAACAAATGAGACAATATGTAAAAAGGTTCATTTGTGGACTAGAGTCAGGTGTGTTTAGAAATCAGACCTTTCTTAGAGGGCAGGGTAGTAAGGTCAATAAATAAATAAATTAATTAATTCTCTATTTTCCAGAAGCTAAAGATTATTATCAAAGGAATGTATGTGACAGTACCACAAGAGCTGTTATTATCTTTAGAAAGAATGATAGAGAGTTGAAGAGTGGTAATGGGGACTCACTTTTATTCTTAAATCTTTTATTTTGAAATTCTTTGTTGTATCCGTTGTAAAGTAAATCCAGTGATGCTGGTTACAGTGATGGTATTCCATCTACGACATACACCATATGTAATTTACTCTTATCATGTTATACCCTGAAGTGGAGTGATGTAACACATATTCTGTTATGTTTATGTGTGAAATACGATTATAGAAAATGCAAAAGCCAGTTTGTGTATTGGAAACACAGATTTAAGTGCCTTTGTTAGTAAAAGGAGGAAATCCCTTTACAGCTTTTTTTAAAGTGTTCTTTGAAAAAAAATCACTCACTACTACAAAAAAATTGAAAACAACAAAAAAGATCTTTTTTCATTCTAATCATTGGTCAGTTGGTGCTTTGCACTCAAAAATCTACTGTACAGTACAAAAGGGGGAAAAGGACAACCCTAGTGGAGTAAACACCATGGTGTGATTTAGACCTTTGATGCTTGGCAAACACTATAACAACTTAATGGACTAATTGGTGAGTGTGGCTGCCAGAGACTGGCAGTGTCCCCAGAGCTTCACCAGACCTGGTTCTGGCTTCTTTGTTGTCTGAAGCTGTGTCACCACAGTTCAAAATCATACCTACCCCAGTCTTACACCAATGGTTTGTCTTATTCGGGGTTTTTTTTTTTGTCTCACTGTTAATGAGTTATTTCACTTCAAGGCATTTCATTTGCATTTTTATTAGAAACTCTTGACCATACATAATTGAAGCTAGATGGGTTGATCATGTAGGGCAGCAGAGTACATCTCACAATAAGAATCTGTTTATACAGGCTATACACTTAGTAGTTAACTTTTAATAGTTGCTTGTGTCATGTACATTTGCTAATGGTGTATTGGTTGTTTTTTTTAAGCAATTGAAAAGACTTTTAAACTATACAAAAACACGTAAGCTGAGGGGTAAGAGTGCATACCACATGGCTGCAGATGCCATCAGCTGAGTGTCCCAGTTGAATCTTGCTTCTGCACTTTTCCTGTAGCTTTAACTGTGTAAATGAATATTTGCACAGAGAACACAAAGGCTTGTCCAAGGTCATTGTTTGAGGTGTGACTCACATGTGACCCTTAGCTGCTGAGCTGAGGCACGAATAAAAAATGTGTTTCCTGCTTTTTGTAAGTGTTGTTTTCGTATCTTTGAGGCTTTGACTCTCTTAGCCGAAGGCCGTCACTGATTTCAGTTCGGGCACTCGCCTTTTCTGTTGTCCACAATGTACAACAACTGAATAAGCAGAGTAGAGATACTACATGCATTATGTAGAAAATGTATGAACTAGTAAATTAAAAAAATGCACTAATACACTACTTACTACTACTTCATTAACTACTTCATTAACTTTGTGAGATTTTACTGGGAGGTACATGAAACAGGTATTCAATAGAAGACCCTTAGTTGACCCTCTTTTTCAGTGTATCCCATCCTTTTTTTGTACAGTTAATTTGTTTGTGGGTTTTTTTGTGTCTATGTTGTGTGCTATCTTTAGTCATCAAATTTCTGATAAGTGCAATTGGCAAATATACAGAATTTATTTAATGTGTCTGAGTATGAAAAATGTTACAGCAAATTCAGTCAAACTGAAAAAATAAAGTAAATAGCGAAATATGAAAATGATGCAGGAGGTCTGCAGCACTGCTTGTAGGCTTTTGAATCAAATCTAAGTTTTGTTTAATAATTTTACCAACTTCCAAGCCTTTTTAATAAATTGTGACCCTACCTGCCATTCCCCATGTTTTACATATTACAGACATACAGTACTACCATACTGTTTACTATGCCTATATATTTAATATTGGCTTCAGTACCAGGCTGTATATATATTTTTTCCATATTGTAAACAAATATTTTAAAAAAGCCACAAATGTCAATAACACCTTCACCTTGTGGCTATATTGTCACAACCAAACTGAATTGCAGTTTAGAAAAAGGAAAAAAAAAAAGCCTATTTGTCACAATGGAGTTAATGAAAGCACTGATCACTGCAATGTTTTGTTTTGGGGGGTTTTTTTTTTGTCAGATGAGATGTCTTTCTGCCATTACAATATTGGTTCTACCCTCAACATGTTCATGCATTAGCTGATTGCTTTCCATTATTTACCAAAGTAATTATCAGCACAGTTTGAGTGTGCATAGAGGCTAAGACAGTTATGCAAGCTGATGGTGCTATTTAAATTGCAGGGGGTTAATTTAATTATATACTGGGGGAAAAAAGATATTTAAAAAATCTATTTTGGACACTATTAAAGACAACATGCTACCAATAGAGATGTATCTACAGTTCTATAAATTGATTAAGGTGTTAATATCACTGATTTATATTTGCTTAAAAGCACTTGCTTGATCATTGTCATATATGATGCTTATGATTTAGGTTTCCATCTGTTTTGCATTCAAATGATTTAAGTCTCTTGTGATCTACCTATATCAATCATTGAAAGTATACAGTACTTTAACGTATAGTAATATACAATAAAAAGAAATGCTGAATAGCTTTGTACATAACAGGCATTTGATTAGCTGTATTTGCTTTTTTGTTTGCAGTAATGCTGTAATCAGAACTAGTGATAGTTGTGATAAAAAAGTTGTGATAAAAAAGCAGCAAAGCTGTGGGTAGAAGTGTTGTAGATTTGTGTAGCTTCCTTAAGAAATTGAAAAAAAACAACCTTTTTTACACACTGATTACAGATTTTACACACAGTATTGCATTCTAAAGTTCATTTTGAAATTGAAAACATTCTCACAAATGCAGCCTATATAACTCATAATGACAGATTTGGTTAGTTTTTGTTAGATTTGTTATCTGAAACATAATAAAAAATCTGATTTAAAACTACATATTCAATTTACTACATACTTGCTACTTACTAAATCAGTGCATATTCTTTCCCCCCCACCAAAAAAACAAACAAACAAACAAACAAACAAACAAACTCATGCATTTTGTTGGCTGTATACTTTAGTTTGCTGTAATTGCTAAGAGCTGAAAAGTCAACTGAGCTCCAGGCGAGTACAGTCTGCAGTTTTCATTGATGATCTGCCTTCCTTCTGACAAATCTCCCTGTGTCTGCTGTCGAAAATAGGACCAGCTCATTCCTTTTTATCTAGGAGTTCCACATACAGAATGTTTTAGCCTTTGCCCAGAGATGCCCTGTAAAATATAGCTACATATTTAGCTAGAATATAAAGTAATAGGTTTGGAGTGTGACTGTTTTTGAGGTTGTGGACAGGTGTCTTTTATACTGATAACAAGTTCAAACAGGTGCCATTAATACAGGTAACAAGTGGAGGACAGAGGAGCCTCTTACAGAAGTTAGTTACAGGTCTAGTTACAGGTCTGTGAGAGCGAGAAATCTTGCTTGTTTGTAGGTCACCAAATACTTATTTTCCACCATAATTTGCAAAGTTCTTTAAAAAAATCAGTGAATGTGAATTTGTGGATTTTTTCCCCCCCTAATTTTGTCTCACACAGTTGAGGTATACATATGATGAAAATTGCAGGGCTCTCTCATCTTTTTAAGTGGGAGAGCTTGCACAGTTGGTGGCTGACTAAATACTTTTTGTCCTACTGTACATTGCAGAGCAATATCCTATAAACATACAAGTTTGCATCCAGATATGCTTTTCATTTTTAAGGAATTTGGAAAAAGAAAAAGCTCACTTTGAGATTGTGGGCTGTGTAGATTAAAAAGGGTAATTTTACTGATTTTATAATTACATGGAAAAAGTATAAAAAAGTGAATGTACTTTAGAAGCATTTTTGTTCTTGCCCACTGTGATGATTAATAATTTCACCACATCACTACGTATCCATCTGGGTTTAGTACACAAACAAACTGTAGTAGTTTATATGCAAATTATTTCTGCAATGAATGTTCAGTGATTAAGCCATTTACTCTGTTTGTTATGCATCATTTATATGAATAGAATGTGTCTAATGCAGCAGCTCTAAAATAAAAACCTCTTTTGTGTCAAGTTTGTCTGTAAGCTGCTTTTGCAAGATCTCGTTTGAATTATGTGGACATTTTGGAAGCTGGAGTTGCTGTTACTGCTCAGTTACATTGCATGAGTTAAACACAGGCGTGGGAAAATAGTAGAAATATCTGCGTTTCTATGCTTGGATGTGCTATTGTCCTAGTTTTGACTATTACTGTGGCAACTTAGTGATTAATTTCAATACATCATGTCATATCATGTCACACACAAACATATTTTATTTTTTGGGACAGTCAAATAATTCTAAGAACAAAGAAAACATTCACAACTGCAGACAAATAGAGGCTTATGTAATTCAAATAAGTACTGATCTTGTTTTTCTTAACTTACAGGTGCAACAAAAGGGCCTGTCGCACTTGGCTTTCTCTATTCTTCTGACAATCTCTACGTCAGTCTTTTGATAGTGGGAGAGAAGATAGTTTCTCTGGATCCAGCCTGACTCCTATTCCAAAGTTCCATCCCACCTAATCAGGTAATGACTCCGCCGTATGTGTAAACAAACATAATGCCAGACTTGGTAGCTGGGTTTTTTTTTGCTGATTTTTAAATTGGGCCCAAATGATTAGAAAAAAATAGTATGCAGAGAAAGATATGCGTGCAGTAAGGCCCAGGCTCCTGGTTCTGTTCTGGAACTGTCAAAATCATTGCTGTCGGTATGATAATGATTAAAAAGTAAATTGTTACTTTGAAACAACTCACCAAATCTAAACGAATTAAGCCAAAACCAGCCAAACCTCATCTACTATCGTGCTAAGCCTGTTCAGAATCAAATTCATCTATTCAAACATACAAGATGAATAACTGTCAAAAAGAGGAAAAAGAAACATTTACAACAAGAGAGAGCTGGAGAGAAAGAATGCCTGTTACCTCCACAGATGAAATGGCTGTGTGGGTGGATGTACATGTGAGTGCAGGCTGCTAGGAGCTATGAGTGGGAAGTGGGTACTGAGTGGGAAGAGAAGAGCTGCTTTAGTGAGACAATCAGCACCAAGACCCACTGAAAAGCAGTCACGCTTTCATGGTTTTTCTTTGTTTTCTGTGTTCCAGGTAGTGAGGTTGGCTATGGATGATTGGTAAAAGTGTCTGTCTGTATAGAGCATGTTTGTATGTATCGAGGTCAGCTGATGGTGTGTCCCATTATTTCTCACATAATCATGATGTAGTTTTATAGAAGACTCCATAGAAACAGGATAAAATAGACTCACTGGACAAAAAAAATATTGTTTAAAAGTGACAGTAAGCCTCAAGAACTTATGTAAATGGACCTGCTGCTTTATTTTGGTTTCGGCTGGTTTATGCCACAATATGATTCACATATATTGTGTAAACAACAAAAACAAAATGCTTATGTGCACGTATGATAGGCACTATTTTGGAGTATTTCTAGTGGAAAGGGACACTGCATATGTATACATATTCACTTTTTATATATTGCGCATTTAAGCATTTGTATCCAGTAGTAATGACGACATTGTTGTTGTTTATATAGAGAAGTATTATTTCATGCTGTTCAACATGTTTTTTTTTGCTCGTGCGCCAAAAATCACGAATCACAAAATCCTCAGATGTAAAGTATTTGCTGCAGCATTTAGTCTGCACCTACAAAAGCCTACAAAACGTCAGGTGCTGTAATAAGGTCTTAAAAGCCTGGTAAAGCTGATATAAGATAGGTCTCTTTTTAGGTTTTAGAAAAAAGGCATTATTAAGAAGGAAAAAAACCCACAGTGCTGATGAATTTTAACATTTTGGTTTCTTCTGTGAGTTTTCTACAACTTTTACAACAATTATTCCCCAAATCTGAAAGTACTACCTTGATGCATTTTTATGCATCATTAGAAGCTTTTACTTAGGAAACTGAATAAAACTGTGTTACCCATGCTAAAGTATAGCCAGCTGTGTGACTGCCAAGTGTACTCTGCCATATAAAATACTTCTAAAGGTACAGTTATACACTCTTGGAAAGCTGAGAGTTAGATGAGAGGATTCACCAGTTGCCAGTTTGTCTGAAGACTGAAAAACCCGGAAACAGCTACGTTTGCTCAAGTGGTGACCTGCAGTTACCGTATTCCTTTGAAGAGCTACTTGACGCTGGCTTCAAAAGTTAGCCAGTCTCGACACACTTTAATGTTAAATTGCCTAGCTTCATTCATGAAATTCAAATGTTTGTAATATGATACAAAAACAGTTTTAGATTTTTTTTGAGGACTTGATTTTAAGTGTAGATACTTTATATTGACAAGTGTGCCAACATATGTAACTGCATCCTGTACTGTCCACTAGGATTCACCTAGTGCACCTATTTCAGCTGTATTTGTGGTGTTGGTGCTCTTTGGTGGATGTTGCTGCAGATGGCTGACCCTCCCTGAGCCTGTTCTGCCCGAGGTTTCTTCCTGTTAAAGGGAGTTTTTCCTTCCCTCTGTTGCCAAGTGCTTCCTCACAGTGGGTCATCTGATTGTTGGGTATCCTCTGTATTATTCTAGCGTCTTACAATATAAAGCCCCTTGAGGGGACTGTTGTTGTGA